AAGGAAAGTTTGCTGTCTTCAAAGTCAAGAGGTGTCTTCCCTTGCATAGCTGCCATTAGCCCCAGTTTGTCCAACATTGATTGGCATCTTAATATTATGTCCCTTGGGGCTGAGTTGGGTGCTTGCGGGGATTTGGCTATCCTGTAAACCCCGTCGAACTGGAACGTTTTAGATTGTCTAGTTGGCAGGAGTGTGGCCACAAGGCGTCTGATGAAATGTGGCAACTCTTCCAGCGGTATTGATTCAGGTACCCCTCGGATTTTTATGTTTTTTCGGCGCCCCCTATCATCTAGGAGAGTAACTTGCCTGGACATTGTTGCTTGTGCAGCTTGAAGGTGTCGCACCATCTCCCCCAATTCCTGGTAGTTCTCTCTTAGTCCCTTTACCTCCTCTTCTACCGCTTGAGTGCGCGTGGACACGGCGTGCACGTCTAGTTTAAGCACTGCCAGGTCCGCTTCCCACATTTGTCTTAAGTTCTGTTGCAGGCCTGTCAGCATAGCCTGTATATCTTGTTTGGAGGCCGGTGCGCTGGCTTCTGGCATCCACGTGTGTGTGGGGTGTTGAGGATTGAGGTGTGGGCTATCTAGCGATTCTCCCTCCTCTGATGGTGCTGGGGAGGTTTCACGGGGGGTCTGTGTCTTTGCTGCGCTTGGGGCCTGTAGCATTTGGCCTATGTCGCGCTGCGGTTTTGGGGCGTTTTGGGGCAGTTTCTGCGTTCTGCGCCCCATCTCACCTGAGCTGTGTGTGCTGGGGTACCAGTCCTCAAATTCTGGGACACTCCAGGGCCAGTGTTCTCCCGTGCTGGGTTGAGGTTGCCTCCCTGCCCGGTAGGCCTTGCCGCCTCGGCGTCTATTTTTCGAGCCGGGCGTCAGGAGAAACGGCATCGGCGGTTGCAGTGAGGTTCCCTGCGGGCTGTGGCTGATTGTGTGGCCGGGATTAGTGCAGGATGCCTCTGATGTGGCTGGATTGCCGTGCGGTAACTCGGAGCTCCGGCAATGTGCCTCCGCTCCGGTCCGGTGCTAGGCTCCGCCCCCCCCAGCATTTTGGATTTAAACACCCGAGGAGATACAATTTAACCAGGCAGTCCAGATAAGGCTGGCACACTTTGGCCCCAACCCCTCAGCAGACATTGTGGAATGTGTGCAGGCAGCAGTGATGGCACACCAAGCGCTCCAGGAAAGAGGAGCTGCAGCAGCAGAGGTACCCAATAATAATATTGGAAGAAAAAAGGTACCCTTTGCTGCATTTAAAATTTTTATTGAGACAGAGGGAGAGATTGACGGGTTCCTGGCTGACTTTGAAAGGCAGTGTGCCCTACACCAGGTACCCGCAGACGAATGGGTCACCATCCTTTCTGGAAAATTATCCGGCCGAGCTAGTGAAGCATTTCGGGCCATTCGAGAGGAGGAGATCACCAGCTACCGAGCGGTGAAAGATGCGCTCTTGGCCAGGTATGCAGTGAACCCAGAAGCATACAGACGGCGATTTAGGGAGACTAATAAGCAGGTTGGCAACTCCTATGTAGAGTCCACCATACAGCAGCCCACTGGATGGTGGGGTGCCAAGCGGTAACTGGGGAAGAGGTGCTGCAAGTGTTTCTGCTGGAACACTGTTTTGATCGACTACCTACCGGAGTCAGAGAGTGGGTCAGGGATCGAAAATCCTCCACTTTACCCAAAGCTGCTCGTCTGGCAGATGAATACAGACGCCCGCAAATTGGACAGTGCCATTACTAAAGTTCCTGCCAGAACAGAGAACAGACCAGCAGCTCCAGCTCCGGCCGTATACCAACCCTCAGCACACCGCACTTCAACACTACCGCCAGCTAACAGTTAAACCTAGCCATCCCGGTTCAACACCCTGGATTATTCTCAACCCATTAGGTGCTTTGGGTGTAAACAGTTGGGGCACAAGCGACCAGAGTGCCCACTGAACAATGCCAACCAAGCCCAGTCATGGAGAAGACCAGCCAGCGGGAATCGGCGTCCATCTCAGCCTGCGGCTCACTGTAAAGAGCAGGAGGAATTCTGGGGCATACTACACGAGGCCGACCCTGTACAAGCAGCCCATCAGGACAACCGTCAGCAACACCGGCAGACTGTGAAGCTGAATGGCAGAGTGGTAAACGGACTGAGAGACACAGGAGCAACCATGACACTGCTCCAAAAGAACTTGGTCTCAGAAAACCCAACATACTGGAGACACTGTGGCATTGAGGGTGGCAGGAGGCGCCGTGTTCCGTCTAGCTGTTGCCTGGGTCCATTTGGATTGGGGAGTGGGCGCTAGACACGTTGATGTGGGGGTTATGAAGGACTTGCCCGCTGATGTCCTCCTTGGGAATGATTTGGCCCCTTTGGTTTCTGCTTATGCCCCGATGGGCCCAGCTGACGTTAACTCTGTGAATACCCGTGCTATCGGAACCAGCTCGCCTGCTGATGAGACCCAGGTAAGACCCTCTTCACTGACTGGTACCCTGGATCAGGCCCCTTTAAGCTGGGATTCCCCAGAGGAGTTTGGGAGGGAAACCCAGGCAGACCCGACTCTCCAGAAGTACCGAGATAGAGCAGAGGAAGGAGTAGAGAGGGAGAGGTATGAGTGGGTAGGGGACAGGCTCTATAGGATCCCTAAGCCTTCCCAGAAGAGTGTCGCCCCTCTGCCGAATCGACAGCTAGTGGTACCTGCAAAATACCGGCAGGAGATTCTGCGGATAGGGCATGATGTTCCGTTAGCTGGACATCTAGGGTCACGCCGCACAGCCTATAGGATCACGCAGAATTTCTTTTGGTCCAACTTTAATCAGGCTGTACGGATGTATTGTAGTACGTGTGACACATGTCAACGGGTAGGAAAGCGGGGGGACCACCCTAAGGCTAGGTTATTATCAATGCCTATTATAGGGGAGCCCTTTTCCCGCATAGCCGTTGACATTGTGGGTCCACTGGCCAGGGCTAGTCCATCCGGTAAGAAATATATTCTCACTGTGGTGGACAATGCCACTCGCTATCCAGAGGCAGTAGCGCTGTCTAATATGGAGGCAGAGACGGTTGCTGATGCCCTGGTTAGAATTTTCACTAGGGTCGGGTTCCCTAAGGAGATCCTCTCCGACCAGGGAACCCAGTTCACTGCTGTGCTTACCCAGCAGCTGTGGAAGGTGTGTGGCATTAAACCGTTACTTAGCTCACCCTATCACCCACAGACTAACGGTCTCTGCGAGCGCTTTAACGGTACCCTCAAACAGATGCGGAGGACCTTTACAGACACTTGCAGAGACTGGGAGAGTTTCCTGCCTCATCTGTTATTTTCTTACAGAGAGGTGCCCCAGGAATCTACTGGGTTCTCCCCCTTTGAGTTGCTTTATGGGAGAAGGGTCCGCAGACCACTGGATTTCTCTCTCATTAGAGGCCACTGAGAGGGGGAGACGGAGCAGGAGGGGATCCCCATAGTGCCATATGTTCTGGAACTCCGGGAACGCATGGAGAAACTGTCTCTGATGGTAAGAGAGAATCTCCAGGCGGCCCAGGAGAGACAGAAGAGATGGTATGATCAGGGTGCCCGACAGCGAGTCGTCCAGGTTGGGCAGAAGGTATTGGTGCTCAAGCCTGTGAGGGCGAACAAGATGCAAGCGTATTGGCAGGGCCCGTACAGAGTAGTAGCCCCGATATGTGATACTGCCTACCTTATAGCCAGCTGTGCAGATGAAGGGATTCAGAGGTCCTTTCATGTGAACATGCTGAAGGAGTATCAGGAGAGACCTGAGAATATTGCTGCAGTATGCACCCCTGCTGCAGATGACCCTGAGAATCTACCCCTTCCTGATTTGTTAGAAAGGGAACCCCAGACTGACCTTACTAACCTTGTACAGCTAGGGGACAGGTTAAACCCCACAGAAAGGGTGCAAGCGAAGCAACTGTTGTGGGAGAAGCAGACGACGTTCTCCCAAGAGCCAGGTTATACTACCCTAGCTGTACATAAGGTTGAGACCCCTGGACAGAACCCCCTACGACAGCCGCCCTACCGTATCCCTGAAGCAGTCCGAGAAGGAATGGGGAAGGAGATACAGGAGATGACCCAGCATCTGGAATCAGGACGGGACCACACGGTTCTGTGTGGACTACAGGCGACTCAACGATGCCCCGGGTAGACGAGTTACTAGATCGTATTGCCAGGGGCGCTACCTGACCACCATGTGTAAAGGCTACTGGCAGATCCCCCTGGCTGAGGATGCTATCCCCAAGTCGGCATTCGTCACCCCCTTTGGCCTGTACCAATTTAAGGTCATGCCCTTTGGGATGAAGAATGCCCCGGCTACCTTCCAGCGATTGGTGGATAGGCTCCTTGATGGCTTCCAAGAATTTGCCTGTGCATACTTGGACGACATTGCGATTTACAGTGGGTCCTGGGAGGAACACCTGGTACATGTAGGGGTGGTACTGGACAAGATTCGGGCCGCAGACCTGACATTGAAGCCAGAGAAGTGCCATCTAGGTATGGCTGAAGTACAGTACCTGGGTCACAGAGTGGGGTGTGGCAGCCAGAGACAGCCAAGGTAGAGGCAGTGGCTAACTGGCCGACACCTACCACTAAGACCCAGGTATTGGCATTCTTGGGGACGGCAAGGTACTACCGACGTTTTGTCCCTGACTACAGCACTATTGCTAAGCCCCTAACCGACCTGACAAAGAAGAACTTGCCTAAGCAGGTCCTGTGGTCTCCAGCTTGTGAAGCTGCGTTCCAAGCACTAAAACAGGCTCTTGTGAATGCCCCTGTCTTGGCTGCCAAATGCTTTCTCGTCCATACAGATGCTTCCATGTATGGACTGGGGGCTGTGCTGAGCCAAGTTGGGGAAGATGGAGGAGAGTACCCTGTCGCTTATCTCAGCCGAAAGTTACTACCCAGAGAAGTGAGTTATGTGGCAGTGGAGAAGGAGTGTTTGGCCCTGGTCTGGCTTAAGAAGTTAAGTCCCTACTTATACGGGCAAGAGTTTTCCCTTGTGACTGACCATAATCCTCTTGTCTGGCTTAACCGGTCTCAGGAGACAATGGTAGACTACTGAGGTGGAGTTTGGCGCTACAACCTTACAATTTCACTATCAGCTACAGACCCGGTAAGCAGAACAGGAATACAGATGGATTGTCCCGGCAAACTGACATCCCCACCACCTCCTAGTCCGGTCATCCCCAAGTTGACCCGCCAAAGGGTCAAACCGGGTCTGCCAGAGTGTCCCACAAGGAGGGAGACGTGTGACAGAACCATCTGTATGCCTATGCGTGGTGGATTCGTCTATTTTGCCCTCCTTTCGTGGAAATGGCTGTTTCTATAGCCCATGCATACGAATGACTTGTTTTTACCGAACAAACCTACCGAATGAATGGCCACCCAGGATAGAAGTGTGCTTCTGGTTAACCTCTTGATCCCAATTAGAACGTTGTGGTTAACCGCAGACACTTCTCAATTAAAACCGAATACAGGGTGGCCGTCGTTCGCATGTGGCAGTGGCCATTTTAGATCGCACGAAAGACCAGCGGTGTTAGACATTGATTTCATGGAACTAAAAACGGACACTTTTTCTGCCGAACACCGCTGAAATGACGAGTCGCCCTGCTCCATCGACGAACGTATACGAACACCGGCCGTTCGGGAGTTTTGAACCCAGATAGCCTTTCCCTGCAGTCAATCGCATACCGAAAGACTGTAAGAACTTTGACTCCATGGCGATTGAACTATGCATATGGGATATGCGTGCTATTCGCTAATAATATGCCCATAGATCCAGGCTATCTGGGGATATGTGATACGAATGTAAAATGTTCGGTAGTTGTGGAATTATATATTTTTGTGTGTTTTCTGGCATTCTATTTAAGATGGCGATTTGTCTTTGTCCTGGAGATAATTGAATTACTTCTCAATTATCTCCAGGGCAGAGGGGAGGAAACCATATTGCACTGTGGGAAAAGGTTGTATTTGTATGTCTGCAATGTCCCCATGTCCATCTGTCATTACAGTCTCCCATTTGGTCCCCTAGGGGAGTGTCCACCAAGTGGGAGACCTGCATAAATACGGGCGGGTAGCCCACAGTAAAGCCAGATCCTGTTTGACCCTCAATGCGGAGCGTAGTCTCGTTATTGGGGGGATTTATTACCGACGACTAGAGACTGATTGATGGAGCCGAAAGCCGCTTGGTGGATATATTTGTTCGGCGGCTAATGGTGTTTCGTGGATTTCTGTTCAGGAGTTTGGATACTCGTAAAGAACGCGTTCGGGAGATTATCGCTTCCCCTGATGGTGGTTCGTATACCACAGTCTATGCGAACGGAGAGAATGATAGTGTGGAGGGGGAAGGTGAACTAAACGGCGG